ACGAAAGGACTCCAAAGGTCACGATCACCTCCTTCCGCCTCGCCACCCTGCTGCAGGCTGGGCTGCGCACGCGGCCGTGTCTCGGCTATATCTCGGCTATATCTCGGCCCATCTCCTGCTGCAGGCTGGGCTGCGCGCGCGGCCGTGGCGCGCGGTCGTCCAGTCGATACTCACCCGTCCGCGACACGTCCCCGACATGTCCTGGACACGTCCACAGGCGCGCGGTCGTCGTCGACGAGTCGCACGCGCTCAGCTCACAGCCCAAGGGGTCGGACGCGCAGCAGACGGAGGCCGTCGCCGCCCTCGCGAGCGGCGTGCCGCACCTCCTCCTCCCTAGACACTTCCTAGACACTTCCTAGACACTTCCTAGACACTTCCTAGACACTTCCTAGGCGTGCCGCACCTCCTCCTCCTCTCGGGGACGCCCTCGCTCTCCAAGCCCTTTTGCCTCTGGAGGCAGATCCACATGCTCCGGCCTGGCCTGCTCGGTCCGGACAAGTGGAGCTTCGGCCGCGAGTACTGCGGCTCCGTGCGGCTCGGCACGGGCTACTTCGTCCCCCTCGGCGGAGGATGCCGCGACTGGGAGCTCAACTTGCTGCTGCGGCGTGCGGTGATGATCCGCAGGCGCAAGGCGGAGGTCCTGACCGAGCTTCCCCTCAAGCGGCGCCGCTGGCTGCGGCTCCCCCCTTTCCTCGCCGCGTCAGGACACGCCCACGACACGTCCGCGACACGCCCGCGACACGTCCCCACACAGGCTCCCCCTCCTCCCCCTCCTCGCGGCGTCAGAGCCCGGCGCTTCGCTCACCGACACGCTTTCGCTGGGAGAGAGGGCGGCGGGAGGGCAGCCCGACGCATCCTCGGCCGCCGCTGCCGCCGCCACAGCAGCACCGTCGGGGCGTGCGCTGACGGGCGACGGCGGCGAGGAGATCGGCGGCGGCGAGGAGGGCGGTGGCGGCGGCGAGGCGGGCAGCGGCGGCGAGGCGGGCAGCGGCGGCGAGGCGGGCAGCGGCGGCGAGGCGGGAAGCGGCGGCGAGGCGGGAAGCGGCGGCGAGGCGGGAAGCGGCGGCGCCTCCGCCCTTCCGGCGGCGAGCACGCACCACCAGGCGGCGAGCACGCACCACCAGGCGGCGTACGAGGCGCTCGCCATGCCGTCGCCACGACGTGCCGTGACGTGGCCACGACACGTCCGCGACACGTCCGTGACACGTCCCGCACAGGCGGCTGGCGTCGCAAAGGTGCCGGCGGCGCGCCGCTTCGTCGCCGACGCAATGAGCGCGCTCGAGGCGGCGGAGGCGTTGGGGGGGGACGTCGCGAAGCTGGTCGTGTTTGCGCACCACCGGCGGGTGCTCGACGGGCTGCAGGCCGCCCTCCACCGAAAGTACCCCCTCGTCCGCATCGACGGCAGCACGCCGCTCCCCGCCCGCCACCTCGCCATCCGCCGCTTCCACTCGGAGGCATCTCTCCGCCTCGCCCTCGTCTCGGTCACCGCCGCCTCGCTCGGCGTCGACCTCAGCGCGGCGTCACACTGCATTTTCGCCGAGCTTCCGCCGGACGCTGCGTGGCTCGCGCAAGCGGAGGACCGGCTGCACCGCAGGGGGCAGCGCTCCGCCGTCAACGTCACGATCCTGCTCGCGCACCTCGCCGCGGGCGTCGACGAAGGCGTTGCGAGGCCGTCTGCTGCTGCGGAGGGGGGGGAGGGAGAGGAGGAGGAGCAGGGAGAGAGCCTCGACGCAGAGCCTGCGGAGGAGCTTGCGGAGGCGGCGGCGGTGGGGGCGGCGCCGGCCGGGGATGAGGCCAGCGGGACGGCTGAGGAGAAGACTGAGGGGAAGACTGAGGGGAAGACTGAGGGCAGGGGCAAGGGCAGAGGCAAGGGCAAGAGCAAGGGCAAGAGCAAGGCCGTGCCGAGGCTCGACGGTGAGGGCCAAACGGCCACGGAGTCGCCCCGCCCCTCCCGCTCGCCGCCCGCTCCTCCTCGCGCCTCTGCCGTGGCGTGGGCAGGCACCGACGCGCACCTCGCCGCGTGCCGCTTCGACGCCTGCCGCTGCTAGATGCCCGACTTACTCCGACCTAGCACTCGAGAGGGCGCGTAGGCAGCGGTATCACCCCGCTGCTAGATGTATCACCCCGCTGCTAGATGTATCACCCCGCTGCTAGATGCCCGACCCGACCGCTGCGGAGACACCCCCGCTCGAGAGGCCGCGTCTTCAGCTGTCTCACCCGCACTCAAACCGCATTCCGCTGCACTCGCGCAGCCCCTGTGCTCACGCCCCGACTCTGGTGTCCTCGCTCTGCGAACGGCAGGCGCGACACGCGGCGGCGCTCAAGCAGAACGAGCGTGCCGTGCGACGCGTGACCGACGGGCCGACAGCCAAGAGCTCGACCCTTACCACTCAGTCGACCGCCGCCGCCGCCGCCGCCGCCCCTGCTTCTGCCGCCGCCGCCGCCCCCGTTTTTGCCGCCGCCTCCGCCCCTGCCGCCGCCGCCGCCCCTGCGGCCGCCCTCGCCGCTTCCGCCACAGAGGGGGAGCGCGCGGGAGACGCAGGCAACGGCGCGACGGCGGAGGACGACGCGGGAGGCGCGTGGGCGGGGGCGACGCACGGCTCAATCTGAACAGTCAATCACTCCTCCTTACGAGTCTGCAGGCGCGGGGCCGACTCACGCTGCGGACGCCGCCGACGACGCGAAGGCCGCCGCGCACACGCCGTGCGAGCCGTTGGCGTCGCTGCTGGCGACGCGGGGCAGGGCGCGGCTCTGCTTTGAATGCAGCAGCAACACCGGCCGCTACCACGTGTACGTCGCCCCACTCGCAGCGGCTGCGCCTCTGACTGCAGCTGCGGCGGCCGTGGGCACCACGCACAGCGCGGGAGCGGCGGGCGAGCAGAGGGAAGAGGGCGCTGGCGGCGGAGGCCAGGCCGTGTTTGGGACGCCGACCCCGTTTTGGGCGCACCACGCAAGCTTCGCTGCCGAAGATTTGCCATTGGCGGCGGGGGGGGGAGCGGCGGCGGGGGCGGCATCGAGGTCCGGCGATGGGGCGACAGCCAAGTGTCTGGAGGCTCTGGAGTGCCTTGCGCAGGGGGGTGCCGCCGCGTGCAGCGAGGCGAGGGTTCGGCGCGTGCTAGCCGACGCGGCGGCCGCATTTGCGACGCAGTGGCGGCTGTTGGCTGCGCCGGCGCGGCGTCGGCTTCGCGGGCGGCCGCTGGAGATGCTCCAAGTGTCGGAGGCCCGAGCTGTCGCAGCAGTGCAGATTGGGCGCGGAGCCGGCGGGGGCGAGGGCAAGGCGAGCGGCGGCACGCGAAGGAAGCGAGCGAGGGGCGTCGAGGAGCCGCCCTGTCCGCACGCAGCGAAGGCGTCGCCGGCGGGCGATGGTCGCGCGTCGCTGCCCGACCGCCCCACCCGCCGGTCTCGGCCGAGGATGGAGGCGTTGGGCCGGGCCCGCTCCCGAGGCCGTCGAGGGGCGGTCGGGGACACGTCCACGACGCGTCCTCCTTAGGCGGAGCAGGGCGCCCCTGCTGGCGTGCGGTGGGGCGTGGCGCGCGTGCCGCTAGGGAGGTGCAGCCTCGCGAGATCTAGCCGAGGTCTAGCTGAGATCTACAGATAGACTGGTGCAGCCTCGCCACCGCGCCTCAAGAAGTAGCAGCAGCGGACAGCGCGAGAGTCCCCAAGAGTACCCGAGAGGAGGGGTTCTGCGATGCTGTAGGCGCGACATGCCGCTGGCGGTGGGGGCGAGCGGCGAGCACGCTCTCTGTCTCGCCTGCTACGCGCCACTCCGCCGCTTCCCCACCGGTTTTGCTCTCGGGCCGGCGGCTGCAGATCCCGCCGCCGCCGCAGATCCCGCCGCCAGCGCCGCCGAGACCGCCCCAACCGCACCCACGGGCGCGTCCGCCGCATCATCAGCACGGTGGCCGACCGCGGCGCCGCTGTCGGACGCGGAGCTCTTTTGCAGCGGCGCGTGCCGCGGCGCGTTCGTCGGCCGGCGGCATGGCGGCGCGCTGCGCCGGCAGCTGCGCGACTTGGACGGGGCGAGGTGCGCTGAGTGCGACCTCGACGCCGCCGCGGTCGGGCAAGCATTGTGCGAGGCTCCTCCGGGGCCGCCGCGCGCCGCGCTGCTCGAGCGGCTCGCGCCCGCCGTGAGCCTGACCCACCCCACACACACACCGCTCTCCCGCCTCCCACTCCCACTGGCCCCACGCCCCCCTCCCACACCCACAACCACCCCTCTCCCTCCACGCTGCTTTCGTGACCCTCCCTTCAAGCACCCCCCCAGC